CCTAGAGTTTGCAACAAACATTTACAACTAATGCAAGTTCATTTTCAAATAACACTGTACTGCTTCATGGTAACACAAGAATCTTATAACAGAATATTCCCAATTCCTTCTTCCTAGCTCTTATTACAGCTATAATTACTGACTACATTGTTGCTCTTACTTTGAACAAAATGTTACCTCTTTGAAGAATAGAAAAATAAAGGTTTTTGTTTTACCTTCACTTATTCCTTCTCTAACTCTTCATGTAGATCAGAGTTTCTAACCTTTATCCTTTTCTTTCTCTCTAAAGAACTTGTTTTAACATTTCTTGCAAGGCAGGATGACTGGCAACAAATTCTCTCAATTTTTGTTTGTCTGAAAAAGTCTTTATTTCTCCTTCACTTTTGAAGAATAACCTTGCAGGGTATGGAATTCTAGTTCAGTGTTTGGTTTTTTTTTTTTCTTTCAATACTTTCAATATTTCACTCCACTCTCTTCTTCCTTGTGTGGTTTTTGAAGAGAAACCTGATGTAATTCTTATGCTGATTCTCAATAGGTGAGGTGTTTTTGGCTTTTGTTTCTTTTCCTCTTACTCACCTCAGGATTTTCTCTTATTGTTCTGTCTTCTGCATATATGACACGTCTAGTTGTAATTTTTTTGGTACTTATCCTGCTTGGTGTTCTTTGAGATTCCTGTGGTTTGGTGTCATTATTTTGGAAAATTCTCGGCCATTATTATTTCAAATATTTTTTTCTGTTTTTTTCTCTCTTTCCTCCTGTTGGTATTTCCTTTACATGTTAGTCCATCAAAGTTCTTTGATATTCTCTTTCATTTAAAACTTTTTTTCTCTTTGCATTTCTGCATTGGAAGTTTGTGTTGGCATAGTTTTTCAAGCTCACTGATTCTCTCCTTGGATGTGTACAGTCTGTTGATGAGCCCATCAAAGGCATTCTTGATTTCTGTTAATGTTTTTCTCCAGCACTTCATTTTGATTCTTCCTTAGAATTTCCATTTCTCTGTTTATATTACCCATTTGTTATTGCATGTTGTCCACTTTTTCCATGAGGGCCCTTATAATTCCAAAATCTCTGCCGTGTCTGAGTCCGATTCTGACGCTTACTCTCTTCAAACTGTGTTTTTGTCTTTTAGTCTTCCTTGTAGACTTCTGGTTGAAAGTGGAACATGATGCATTGGGTAAAAGGAATTGAGGTAAATAGGCTTTTAGTGTGAGGTTTCATGTTTATCTGGCTAGGAGGCAGGTTGCTTATTGTTTCCTATAGGTGTAGGTGATGATAGAGACTAAAATTTCCTCTTTGGTGTATTTGTTTTTGTCTCCCCTGTTGTCCTTGGGTTTCCCTAGAGACTACTTCTTTTTTTTCTTTTTTCTTTTTTTTTGTGGTATGCAGGCCTCTCACTGTTGTGGCCTCTCCCGTTGCAGAGCACAGGCTCCAGACGCGCAGGTCCAGCGGCCACAGCTTACGGGCCCAGCCACTCCACAGCATGTGGGATCTTCCCAGACCAGGGCACAAACCCGCATCCCCTGCATTGGCAGGCAGACTCTCAACCACTGCACCACCAGGGAAGCCCAAGAGACTACTTCTTAAGTAAGGCCTGAGCTCTGCAGTTCTTGCAGCTGTAACCCCCTCTTATTATACAACGTCCCTATTGGTGTATTGTTAATGTGTGGGGCCGGGGAAGCAGTCTATCCGCTTATGATTAGGTCTCAGTATTTATTTAGTCTGTACTCCTGGGCTGTGACCTTTACAGTGCTTCTCAGATTGTTCTATTCCAAGCTCCCCCACCTCAGGTGAGACAGGAAGGCTAGAGAAGACTGGAGTTGGGTATTGCCCTTCCCATGTGTGGCAGGCAGGCTGGAGGAGGCTGAGTTGGGTTCTCTCCTTCCCCTCTGTCAAGTAGGCTCCAATAAAACCCCAGTAGGTTAGGTTCTGGTGGAATAGTTTCCCTTGAGGGCAGACTTTTGTGAAGGAGAACAGAATACTCTGGGTATATTCAAAATTTTTACTTTTCTCCTGCCCCTACCAGGAGCACAAGGGGGTGTTTGGTTGCTGGGAGTAAAATTAACAAAAGTGTGAGGACCCCTCTAAGACTGGCACCCCCTGGAGTTTTTAACTTTCAAGCTTGTCCACACTGAGCCTCTGGCCATTTTCCAATTAACATGTAAGTTTTAATATCCTGGTACTGGCTCCAGTAGTGGCTTCTGCTCTGGTAAGTTTTGATTCCCTGTATTTTTCTATCTCTACAATTTTGGGGTCAATTATCTGTTAGATCTGAGAAGAGCTGTTGATTTCCAGCTTCTTCAGCTTTTTTCTTGTTGTGAGGCTGCGAGAGATAACTTGAAGCTCCTTACACCTTGGACTGGAATCTGGGAGTCAGGTTTTTGTTTTTATAGGATATGGGTGGGCATGACAAGTTTGCCTGCAGGTCAGATTGCCAGCTACAGCTGTTGAATCAGTGCTGGATGAGGGGGCAAAAAGCGCACTGGCTGCCCCATGAACTCCCTGTACCTCCCAGGGTCTAAGGGTCACCCTGCTCCAAATCACCAACATTGTTGCTCTCTCTTCACTGCTACACAATCAGCGTATTCAGAAGTTACCACTTTATCTTTTCAACAATTAACCCAAATTCATGCCCAGACTTTTCACATGAAGGTGTGGATTGGGACAAAGGCATTTTTCCAAAATTTTCAGAGACTCACTGTATCTCCCACTTTGCCCTATGTGGGCCAGTGAAAGGGAAATCAGAAAGCAGTGTACCCAGCCAAGCGATTATTATTCTCATGATTCAAGACTGTGTCACTGCAACAAGAAAATTCAGCTGAACGAACCAGAATTAAATGTTATTTTCATCCCTTATGATTCCTTCTGGATAGCCACCTGCAAGGGATAACACTCAGGCTTGCCCGTTGTTGCTCGAGGGTGAAACAAGGAAGCACCATGCCCAGGAATGGTCAAGGTGGATACCTAAATTTTTAAAATAGTCTGTATAACCTCACATATCTCCCTACCACTTTTTCTTGAACATTATCCAGGAATCAGGCAAATGGAGATGATCCCTATTTAGAAACAGCAGAGATCGGTAACTGGGGTAGACAGAATAGTGGCCTCCAACTATGTCCACTTCCTATTCTCTGGAACGTACATGGCAAAAGTGACTCTTCATACGTGAATAAATTATGAACCTTTAAATAGGGAGATTACTCTGGATTATCCAGGTGGGTACAATTTAATCACAAGGATCCTTATAAGCGAAAGATGGAGGTACTAGACAGTAACAGAGATACAGCCTGGTAAGAAAGACTCAGCGGGGCACTGCTGGCTTTGAAGATGGACGAAGAGGCCATAAGCCAAGGAATGCTGGAAAAGACTGGAAACGGATTCTCCCCGAGAGCCTTCAGAAGGAATCCATTCTGCCAATACCTTGATTTTAGCCCAATGAGACCCATTTTGGACTTCTAACCTCCAGAACTGTTAAATTTGTGTTGTTTTAAGCCACTAATTTGCAGTAATTAGTTACAGCAGTAATGGGAAATTAATACAGTAACCAAACAACCCAACTCAGGTGAGTAGAACAGGAAATGATGGAGTTTGGCAGGTCCCTTGATTACCTTGCTGCTGGGGCTACACCAGCTGTGATCCCAAGAACAGGGCTTCCATTTGAACAGAAAGGCCTGATTAGCCAGGCACCTACTGCCCCCAACACCCAAAGAGTCTGCTAGGGTGCTGTGATTCGCTTCTTTTCCCCCTAAACCAAATTTCTTCAGAGGAATTTTAAATTCTGGCCTTTTCTGTGTCCTGAATCTGAGACGGACAGGAGAGATGCGCTTTTTTAAGACTAAGTTGACATGGGCCTCTGGCCTGAGTTAGCTCACTGTCCCCGAGGTCTGGAAGCCTGTCACCCAAGAAGCCTGGGCTGTTCCTTCGGCTCAATGTCATCCTGGTTCCGCAGCAGGTCGGCCTTGTGTAGACTAACACAGGCCCTCCAAACACTCCTGATGCCAGGCTAGGCCCTGGTTCAGAGAGCAAGTGCAGTAACCTCAGTCCCCCACGAAACAATACTGGAAAACAGTCTCAGAGAAAGAATGGTTACATTTTTTTATCTGAAGAAAAAAAGGTAAATACTACAAATGATGTTTAAGTTACACAAAGGAGTACAGAGCGAAAGATGTCTCCCTTACTACCTTGACTTCTGCTCTCTCTCACGAGGCAGCCACTGCTATTTTCTGTCCTTTCACATTATTTTTATGAGCGCACGAACACATCTGTCCTTTCTACTTCCATCTCGAGGTCCCCGTCGGTCAGGCATGGCCTTGTTGCTCTGAACCGCGCAGCCCGGGGCCGCACGGCGCCCCCCCGCGACTCGGCATCTGGCCGACCCGCACCTGCACTCCCACGCGCCCGGCACGGACGACCCCAGGGCATCCTCCCCGGGCACACACACCGCAACGCCGCTAGACCCCAGGAAGCGGAATCGCTGAGCCACCGAAACGCGCGTTTAAAAACGAAAGACAGCACCACCCCCTCCAAGAGGTGCAGACCCGCAACCGAGATGCTCGCGCTCTCCAGAGCTCTCCCAGGGCACTACCAACTTTCCGATCGCGGGGAAATTGGCACCCGAAAGTTTCGACTTGCGTTTACCTCGTCATCTGTAAGGCGGGCCGTCCCTTTGTATATCTAAACGCCCTCTGCACTTCCAACACCGCTTTGGGAATTTGCTTCGGGGCCCAACGCCCAAATCACTCCGTCCCTTTTGCCCCGACTTAACATGGCGCTGACCGCAGCTACTTCCGAGATCCTGGAACACCAAATTGTCCCGGCCAGCATCAAAGAGGGCGTCCAGCCCCGCAGCCTCCAGTGTGCGCACGCTCTGCTCGCCTCCACGCGTCCACTCTCGAAGGCAGTCCGCCAGGTTCCGCTCTAGCCGCCGCGCTCGGTGGTTGCCACCACCAGCCAATCGCAGGGCCCGGACGCCGCTGGCCCCGCCTCACGGATCAGCTGAGGGATCCGAGATGTCCGTTGACAGCGGCGGCGGCGGCCGCGCGGCCGGTTCCGGGTTCGGCGCGGGGTTGGGGGTAAGAGGGCGGCGGGCGCGGGCGGCCGTCGGGACCCGGGTGGGGGGCTGGCGGCGCGGGCCGCGGCGGCGTGGCGCGGGCGCCGAGGAGGAGCGGCGGGCCGCAGCCTCTGCCTTCGCGGGCCGGGTCTCACCCGACGTTTCCGGGTCTCGTCAGATGTGAAGCCGATGGAGCGGCCGGGGGAAGGCGAGCAGCCGCCGCAGCAGCAGCCGTGGGGGAGGCTTCTCCGCCTGGGCGCCGAGGAGGGCGAGCCGCACGTCCTCCTGAGGAAACGGGAGTGGACCATCGGGCGGAGAAGAGGTGCGGGGCGGGGAGCGGGCATGGGGGACGTGGGACGGACTGGGGGCGAGCCGGGGACGGGTCCGGGCACGGGGGCGGGGACCGGGGACCCGGGATGGGGGCGGCCGACGGGGTTCGAGTGCTGGGGGACTGGAGCCGGGACCTGAGAGCGGGGGCTGGGCGAGACCGGGCCCACTGGGCTGTGGGAGGCTCCTGGGCGCGGCGCGTTCTGCTGCCCGGTTTTTCCGGTGGAATGGGCCGTCGTGTAACAGCTGCCGTTTATTCACGTATTGATCGGCCCAGTTACTTCTGCGTGTTTCATGCAGGTTATTTAATTTTCACTGCAACGTTATGAAGTAGGTGCAATAATTTATCCCCTGGAATGCGGTTTTCTCAAGGGTATTACTACCCAAAGCATCTTCTCTGACCTTAATGGAGTGAAATTAGAAATAAGTTAGCAGAAGGAACACCGGAAAATCCACAGATATGTGGAAATTAAATAACACTCTTAACCCACCAGTGGGTCTAAGAGGAAATCAAAAGGGAAATTAGAAAATACTTTGAGATAAATAAAAATTTAATGTACCAAAACTTAGAGGATGCAGGTAAGCCTTGCTCAGAGGGAAATTTATAGCCGTAGGCAGCTACATTTAAAAAAAAGATCTCAAGTCCCAGCTCCTAGAATAGAGCTGCTCAAATATTTGTTGATGTAATGAACGTGGGAAGCTACGGCCTTGAAGAAAGTCCTGTAACTAGTGAGAGGAAGAGCCCTGCCCCGCCCCCCACGCTTGCTGCCTCTAAACTCCTAGCGGCCATCTGATGATTTAACCTCCCTTGTAGCTTTCCTACTGGGAGTGAAGTGCACTGATCAGGCCAACAAAAATATTTCGTTTTTCTGCAAATTAATAAGTTGTCACACTGACTTTATACTTTAAGCAAGAGATAATGAGAAAGATTAGTGTTTAAAAGCAAATGTTCTTTGGTTTCATTTTACCCATCATCATGCACCTGTACCTGTTTTTGGTTGGGGTTTTTTGGGGAGGCAGTCTTAAATCCCAATATCAAGTTAATTTTTTTTTTTTTTACAACTTTAAAAATATTTACATATCATTAGAAACTTTTCAAGATGTATTGTCTTTATTTGGTGTGAATGGAAGTTTGGTGAAGAGCAGAAGCCTGGAGACCACCACCCTCACGCCCCCTAGGCCACCAGCATCACCACCACTGCATAACCTGCTTTGGGCCAATTTACCTTCCGGTGCCTTTGTAGCTACTTCATGGGGTCACTGTGAAGATTAAAGGAGATCGTGAGTGAAGTGCTTAGAAGGAGCCTGGCTAAGAGTTAGCACTTAATGTTAGCCATTGTTGTTATAACACAACACTGTAGTATCATTTTACATGCTAATACAAGGAGCAAAAATGTGTTGTTGAGTTGATTCTTAATGGAAGTCCTTTCCTTGAATATATTAACCTTTCCAGCAAAACGTAGTTTGCCCGGGCTGCCATAACAAAATACCACAGATCACGAAGCTTAAACAGCAGAAGTATATTTCTCACAGTTCTGGAGTCTAGGAAGTCCAAGATCACGGTGACAGTCAGTTTGTTTCCTGGTGAGAACCCTCTTCCTGGATTGCAGGCAGCTGCCTTCTCGCTGTGTCCTGGCCTGCTGGACCAAGAGATCTTTGGCGTCTCCCTCTTATAAATGCCTCAGCCCTATCAGATTAAGGCCCCACCCTAATGATGTCATTTAACTTTTATCATTTACAGGCCTTCTTTCTAAATACAGTCACTTTGGGGGATAGGGTTTCAGGTTGTAGAACTAGATTTATTTTAAAACTATTGCACGCCTGCTACATACAAGGCCTTATTTTGAGGAAAAGGGAGAGCTGAGTTGACGTGTGTGGAAGGATGCAGGGGTTCTCGCCTTCCCAAAGAGCTTCCCATTCTCAGGGAGTGGCAGAGATGTGTACCAACCATGGAGAGAGTAACCAGCTGAACGACAAGCAGGGCAAATACCAACAGTAGAACTTTAGCAAAGGTATTTCAGTTCTCAGTTGGAATGCAGATGTTCAGGTGTGGAGAAGCCTAGTAAAACCCCACTCCAGTGACAAAGCCTGGTGACCAGCCTGGGTCTGGGGCTGCAAGGAGACCATCTAAGAATGCCGTCTAAGGGGAATCACGCTGTATTGTAGCACAGTCTTTGGGTCTGGCTGCCTTCCCTTGGTTGGTGCTTTTGAGGTTCATCCTTGGCAGTTACATATATCAGTAGTTTGTTCCTTTTTGTTGCTGGGTGATGTTCTGCAGTGTGTTTATTAATTCACCACCAGTTGACGGGTACCAGTACTGCTTCCCACGTTTGGTTTTTAAAAAATAAAGATACTGTAGGGAATTACCTGGCGGTCCAGTGGTTAGGACTTTGTGCTTTCACTGCCGAGGGCGCGGGTTCAATCCCTGGTCAGGTAACTAAGATACTGCAAGCCGCGGGG